GACTGCAAATTAATGCTTTTCTTCTGAGCAGCATTTTCACTATTCCCGTATAAATATATTTTTTATTGTAAAAAATGTCTGTACACTTAGATTTAACCAAATAATTAAAATCTCAGAAACTTGTAAAATGCATCTATTGAAATAATGATGTATAAATTAGATAGAATATCTATAATCCATTATATTTAGAAAATAACAAGTTTTAAAAGTATACATTTCTGTTAACTTGACCATTCCAAAGTTTCTAATGGCCATGCCTCAAATGCATCTAAAAAAGAAAAGAAAAAAAGGAATGTCTGGATTTGTGACATATAGTGTAATTCAGTTGTTTCCTAAACCGAATGTGAGTGGTCATACGATACAGTGGAAGCTTCCATCATTTAGCGTTTTGACTGGTAGGATTGCTCTCTTTATGTAGACACATAAATACTTTAACTTGGCGTAATTAAACATGTACACTAAATCAGTTAAAATGGGCAAGCGGTTTATAACTACTATCATTCATTACTGCCTTAAATAGCAAGGCTGTATCTATGTGCTGCTGAGGAGATAGTGAACAAATTCTAGCATATTTCTTGGTCATTCTCATTAACATACCATAGCTGGATTTGCAGTCATTGCGGTATATTATGAAATGCTCTGAAAGCAAAAAGTTAAAAAGAGAAATTCATGCTTGAATACTGTTGCTTTTAATTAGGAAATGCTGGTATTAAAATGTTAGTTAATGTGCTTAGGATAGCCAGATGGTTTGTTGCAGTTTCATATATTGAACAGTATATGTGTTGATTTGGATGTTTCACACTGTGAAACACAGAATGCAAATGATTTCTGTTGAAATCACTAGGCATCTCAACATTGACTTCAGTGGTAGGTAGGCTATAATCTTTTCATTCAATTTTATGGTTAGTTGAGAAAATAACACAACATCTTTAGAAGATGTGATGGTGCTTTCCTTCCAGAAACAACATGTTCTTCTAATATTAATAGTAATATCATCATCATCATCATCATCACTTTTATGGATATACTACTCAGTAGCTGAAGCACTCTAGATGGTTTACAGCAACAAGTAGAGGAAGGACAGTAGTCACCCTGAGAAAGTGCTAGACCACCACATATTGCAAGTTATTTAAAATTTTGTAGGTGAAAAGCAAAATTTTATCCTGTTTGCAGGAGATAAAGGTGAAAAGCATCCTGGCTGCTCTGTTCTGAGGATGCTAACAACACTGAAGTGGAATAATAATACTAATAATAATACAAAAACTTCCAATGATTCTGATGCATTCAAATTTGTTTGCCTACTAACCATTCCTCACCTCAGTAATTCAAGTACACTGAAAACTGGTTTTGCTAAAGTGCTGAACTTTATGGAAGTATAACAGAACAATATTTGTTTAAATGCTGTTCACAGCAGTTCACACAGTGCACTGAAGAAGCACCTATTACTTGATTTATGGACCCAAACCATCTAAGGAATTAATAACTTGAGCATCTAAAAGCACTGAATGCTGTGGAACCACAGGAATTCAAAAGCAAAAAACCCAGGGAGTCTAACAAAACAGAATTCTAGTGTACATCCTTTGCATTAATACAAGCTTAATTTTGTCTTTTGGTATTTATCTATTCTGTTTCTAATGATAGTTCAGTGGTTGGAAATCCGATAATCTCTATGCAGTAGTAATAGCCTTAAAAGGCTATCCTATCTAAATAACTGACTTTCCCCCTTTCTAATAGAATGTTGTGATTCTCTTTAATTGCTATTGTAGAGACAGACTAATTTTTTGGTGATGTGCAAGTTCCCCCAGGTTATCACTTTATTTTTCTTTGAGTTGTCTCTGAAAAGCATGCATCTTTTCAGGGTTTTTTTTTTTTTGGTTTTGTTTTTAATGAAAGACCATGGGAAAACCGAGCTCTGGGAAGTTTTCTCTTCCTAAGCATCTTATGCTTGCCAAATTACTTGCTAGGGATTGCTCCAGACAAAAGAGACCTTGTGTATTCAGGAACATGCCCTTCTGCCAGGTGGTCTTCAATCTGTACTTTCTTTTTTCACCATGCCTCTGAGACCAATCCAGGAAGCATAGGACACTTCCATGCCCTCTCTTGTTTCCAGCAAGCCCTCCAATACTTCTGATGAATTTAGGAATGGGAAACTGTCTGGAGATGAACTCAGTACAAGCTGGGCTGAACCCCAGATGTGGTTCCTGCTTAGCTGGTATTGGAGGCAGCATTTTTGCATTTGGGGTAATTCACTTTTCATGTTTGCCCAATCTGGAATTTCTGATGTAGCTACAGTAGCTGTTTGAAAATTGAACATGTGTCTGGTAAAGCCATAATACAGGAGCTTGTTGTCAAGAGTGAGTCTCTCCCTCCCTCTTTTCTTTTTCCAGAAAACACAGATGGAAACTTAGTAGCACAGTCCTTTCAGTAAAAATTAAAAGGTCACACAACAGGTGGGCTGTTTCTTACATTCTGTCTGAGAAACTTCACTAGGTAGCTTCGAAACTGCCAAATCATCTGATCAGTTCTGCCCCTTGGCATCCTCATCAGAATTGGATTAATCTATTAGAGCAATCTGTAATCTGCAAGAGCTGGGGCCCCTCTCAGTACTCATATTGGAGCTATCAGGTCAGCAGCCATCTGGTGGCAGTTACTGGACTCAGGTGATTGCAAAGGATTAATGAAGGACAAGAGATGCTGAAGCAGATAATTGAATTAGCAGGTATATGGAATTGAGATTTGGCCCACTAGTTCTGCACAGGACCCTTAAAAAGATAAGAGAATAGATTCAGAGATGCAGGGAGGTGGAAGTAGAGAACAAAGAGTCAAAGACAAAAAGAATCAAAGTAAGGGTGGGGGGGGGGAAGAGAGTCAAGCTGCATCTTACACTGTGGGAAACCAGATCATTTGAGGAGAACAGGAGGGAGCAGTAAGTGAGACATCCAAAGGTGAGCTGTCAGTTAAGGAGGAAAGACCACCTGTAAGGAACGAGGCATTCTAAGTGGTTGGCTCTAAGAAATAAGAACGGCCTTGAGGGCTTGGTTTTGGGCATTTTGCTTATTTGGAAGTGGAGAGAGGAAAGTGTTAGTTAATTCTAATTAGTCTGAAATAAACTTTCAACTAAAGCCATATTGTATTAACTGAATTTACAGAAAACAATCACAGCTTGTTTCTTGTGTTATTGATTTCTGTAAAACACTTAATCTACCATCTAAAACCAACTTTACTTGCTTGCAGTTTAATATCATAAAACCTGTTGATTAGAAGCACATTTCTCATGTGTAACTCAGAATAGGAAAGAGAGGCAATCCTAACATACAGTGAACAAAGGCACAATTGTGTTGGTTAAGATATTGACAGTGTGCTTGACAAGGTGTGCATATGCTGAAATTTGGGTTTCAAGTATGTAGTAAGTATGCAGAGTCAGTGTGTTTGCTTGCCTTGAAGAGAGTCACATGCTTGCTGAAGGAGTTATTGATGCACGTATTGTACGGGCTCTACCAGAAGAATGTTGAGGAGATTATTAAGGTTCTGCTAGTACTGGAGTAAACTTTCCTAGTCTCCCAAAGCCAAAATAGTTTTTTGAAGGCCTTATGGCCTTCACTTTGTTAGGAAGAGTACCAGAGATAATTGTCTTGGAACTGTCTTTTGCAATGATTCTGTAGGTAAGGACTATTTTGCTGTGAGAACAAAACTGCCTGCCTTACTGAAGCAGCTTTGTCCCAATCTCCCAGGAAGGGGGTGGGGCTTACTGCATCTAAAAACAGATTTTATAAAATCCATGGCAAATTGTATCTTATGACCTTGAACTGGGGAGAAGAATTAAAGTACCACCTCTCCAGGCAACTTTGAAGGCCCATGGAGCATCCCCTGGCTTATTCAAGGAAACAATATAACCACAGAAAAGCGTATTGCTTTGTTTTGCTTGTATACATTCTATAGCCACATTTCATGACTGTATTTAGCAACTTCTATATCATCTTTGACATGCATGCAAATCTGTTACTTCCTAAGTATCCTCACATCTAAAGCAAGGTGCTTTGGCTGGATCCGGCCTTTGAGGTTAAAACGATGTATGTCTGGTTCTGGCCATTGTTCTAGAACTTCTTGTGACAGCCTTTGGCTCTTTTATTTAAAAAGAGTTACATATTCTATATATTTGTTCCAGTTCCTGGTGATGGTTGATCTGCCCCAACATCAAAAGACACTGTACCCTTCCCATGGTGGCAACAACATCAGAGATCAAACAGTGTCAATAACTTAGACTGGTGTCATCTGTGACACCCTGATTGTGAAAGTCCCTTCTCAAGAGAGCTTTCCTGGTACCTACTTAATATCCTTTAGGTGTCAAATTAAAAAGCATTAGAAAGCACTGTAATCATTTGTATTTTGTGTATTGAAAGGACACCATATATTTTCATCTCTGAGATTTACTTTTTATTCTGCTGTTTTAATTGCTTTTTTGTCCCATTACTTCTGACAATAATAATTTTATTGTGTTGTTGTGCATTTGGTTGCTTTAATTTTGTGATCTGCCTGGGATAAATGAAAGTCATTAAATAAATACTTAACAAGAATTGTCCTTGAATATTCTCTGGAAATTTCAGTGGATATAGAATGTTCACCTGTGCTCTAGCTTGCAGTTTCTGCAACTTTGGTTTGAGTCAAAATTGTCATGATTATCATGATTGTAAACTGCCTTGGGAATTTTTAGTGATGAAAGATCAACATAGAAAATCTTTACATAAACAAATGTGAATACTGCTGCGCTGTTGCCCATAGTACTTTATGGGGGAATTACAGTTACTGGATATTTATATTAGAAAAACAGCACTTGTTATCAATGTGAGAGTGATAGTTCTACATTTTTGTTTTGTGGCTTGTTCCTTGTTGTCTTAGAGGATTCTTTTCCACCTTACAGAATCAAATGTCAACAACTTTTGGGAAAGAGTTCTGTGAAACGCTTTGGTTGCTAATGTATTTTTCATGTTTTGGCATTGCAGTTGTTTCTTGTCGCTGCTATTGGTGGCTGCTGTGGTCTGGAAAATTAAACAAACCTGCTGGGCTTCTCGACGGAGAGAGGTATTGGTAACACTGGGATTATTCTCCCCACACCCCATCTCAGAGAGAATTCAGAGATGCAGGTGAACATGCAACCTGCCTGTCCTAGTTAAACTCCATCACATAAATCTGCCTCCCCCACTGCCATTTCTTTATACAATGGCAGGACAGGATGACTGCCTTTTTTTGGTGGTGGTGGTGGTGGTAGTTGTAGTTGTAGTTGTGATTGTATTGTATTTATCTCTCACCTTTTTCCTGCCCAGCGCAATCACATAGCTCCATGGTACCCTCATAAGAGAGGGGGTGACTGGCCCAGCGTTGCCCAGTGAGTTGTATGGCTGACTGGGGACTAGAATCCAGATCTCCTGGGTTCCCCAATCCTACAGTCTAATCGCCCACATTGGCTCAGCTAGCTGTGGAAACACTGTTTATATACGAGATCTATTGGTAGCTTTTTACATTGTCATGTTTTAAAACTATACATTAAATAAAACACTTCAATAAGATAAAGTATGCATGGGAATACATATATCCAAGGTCTGCATGTCAAATTAACTGCTATTTCCAGACACTCAAATAGTTGTGCTTTTCACAGTGCTTTTTCTATTTTGCCTGCCCTGGCCTCAACTGTTGTTGCTCTTTTCAAGTTCCACATGTGCACTGGAGTATTTGGCCATTTTTCCGGGCATGGTAGAGAGAGAGAGAGATAGAGAGATAATATATAAAATATATATTTTCCTACATACACTGGACATTCTCCCTCCCACCAACTCGCTCTGCCCCTTTTTGCTTCTAGTGTATCTGTGTATTAATTATTGCCTGAAATATGCATTGACAGAACCTTCCATTCCATTCTGTTTGTCTGAGTGCCCTTTCAAGGCATTTGCTCATATGATTAAAATCAGGGGGGGGGGGGGCAGTGAGAGTTACATTGCACTCTCTTGTTCTTCCCCCTGACATTCATGTATTGGGGGGAAGTATAAAATGGGGAGTATGCTGTGAATACATTGTGTCCCATACAGGTTCAGACAATGCTAGTGGAGGGTTCAAAACTTCCCTGGGAATTTGTGCACCTACAGCTCTGATTCCCTGCTCCTGCCCCCACCCCCATGGCAAGGAGGAGGCCAGTGCGGACATGATGGCACAAGTGGCTAGCAAGTACACCACTCTTCCTCTCATGTAAATATAATTGTAAGAAGGGAAAGGAATCAAAAAGACCTGCTGGGTATCATGGCATTGTTTTATTATTTTAGGATGCATGCCTATCTCTTAGCAACACATTAACAAGTTTGCACTATGCAGGGAATTGTATAAACATACAATTCTGTCTGTGTAAGTTGGTATAATTACACACAACAGCTTAGTTCCAAAGGTAAAACTGAGTAAACAAACATCTTGAGAAAAACAAGGAATCTGTGGTGATTCATAGTGATAGTTTTCTTGTGTGTGAAGTCAGGGCATTTAGGAAAGTATCCTTGTCTCTCTCCTGTGTGGGTGGAACTTTCCAATCTAGGCTGCTTCTGATTATCATTTTTTCTGATAGGAACTGAGAACTGGCTTCTGACTAGGACAATTCAGGTGCTGTGGGCATGTGTATGACTTCCTCAGTTTTAATTTCTGTGGATGCTTTCATTTATTAGGTTAGGAGAACAGGCAAAGGAAAATGCATGTTTGTATATAGTAAAGGCATGTATTGTTTTTTGTTCTCCATTCCAGAAAAATACTAGAGCAATATGATTTCTTCTTGATAATTTTAAAATTAGTGGATAAAATTAGTGAAGTATTCATAATTTTTAGAAATATTTCATGCTAATATTATAACATTAATAATATGTAATTTATATTAATATAAATTATATATAATTAATATAAATTACATTAAATTTATATCCCACCTTTTTGCTTCTTGCAAGGAACCCGATGTGGCATTTGTACTCAGAACAACACCCTGTGAGCTAAGTTAGGCATCACTGGCCCAAAGTCGCCCAGTGAGCTTCATGGCTGTATAGGGACTCGAACCCAGATCTCTGTGTCCAGTCCAACACCCTAACCACCTTATCACACTAGCAACTCTCACAGAATCGATACATGTTTAATGTCCAGCCATTACATTAGGCCTGAATGCATTTCAATCAGGGTATAATTTAATTTAAATACCAGACCATTGTTTAAACTAATTCCATTCTTTTTTTTTTAATTTACAAGTATAGAAATAATTTTATGAAGGCAATGTCATTTCACTTCAAGGATATATTCAAATTTAATTCCTTATTATTTGCAATATTTAATTATAATATTAGAATGGTAATATTGCCATTTGAATAAGTGTCTGTGTGCAATAGAAGAAAATTGTACAGGGCTTTATAACACTTGTTCACAGCTACTCAGTGATTATTATGTTACAATTTTAGTAGAAAAAAATCCTGTAGGGTCACTAAAAATATTAGCTTTTCCCTACTCAAAGAGCCTTACTATATGGGAATCTATTGGAAAGAAACGTTCACAGCTAATGTCAGTTCTAAAAGAATTCTAACTTTTCAGAAATCTAGTTGTGTTCTGATTAACCTTCTGAATTTCCACAGCTAAAATGACACACACTGTGCACCCATCAAAAGCTAAGCTCTCTTTATCTTTTAATTAACTGAGTTTCTTCATACTCTTCCCTCAGCAGTGTGCTTTGGTAACCAGACTACGGCTTTTTCCACATGTTTCCGAGTGAACATCGCATCATATTTCTCCTGCTTAAGCCTCACAATAGCCAGATAGTTTCCCTCTAAACTTGAAGAGTCATTCAGTATTAGATACACAAATAAAGGGTTGATGGGAAAGTTTTATGTAGGATCATTGCACTGCCAGCAACCCTAAAGTAACTTCATTTCCCATCAAACCTCTGGGCTCTGCTCTCCAAAATTACTGTAACGTGGAATATAAATTGTGGCAACTCAGTAATTTTTACTCTGGTAGTGCTGATCTCATGAACCTCCTCAGCTTCATGTTACAAGACAACTCATATAAAGTTAGTGGTGTGGTAGACTGGAGGGACACCTAAAACATGAAAGATCACAGTCAGATGTGACTAGAATGTTGAGGGAACACCTCTGTGAAAGTGGCATGATGGTACCATTTGGTTTGGTCTGTAGGTGGAGAAATTAGCTTGCTTGTTTTATACACACACACACACACACACACACACACACACAAGAATAAGTTAAACAGCAACATAATCATTGTAGCAACTATGTACAATATTTTCAAAAAAGAAGGGACAACCTATTCTCACAGAGAGACAGAGACAAAGTTGTGGTTTCTTGTGGAGGTTAGGCTGGTTTTCATGTAGAATAGAATTTGAAATAAGATTGTATTTGTAGATCGTATGTGCTGGGAAGGCTTGCCTGGAAAGGGACTCGCTGTCAGAGAGAAGCCATTCTGCAAAGTTCAATATTGGTACCTGGCATTGGATGTAGAAACAAACTGGCAGCTAGCACACCAGTTTCAGAATGTGTGATATACAACTGAGCCTACTCAAAGAACCTGCCAATGGATCAATGGCAATATTTTGTGGTAATTCTGGAACACATTTCATTGGCAGCTAACTGCAAGTGGTTAGACTGTTACCTTCCTGCAGCCCTTACCCAATTAATTGTTGACCACAGGCATATAATTATCACCTTGCAATAATAAAAATGATTAACTAGAACTGGTAGTCTGTATAGTCAACCACTATCCTTAGCAGTTTTGTGTTCAAAATGAATAGCTTAGGAGTAAGACTGAGAACACCGCAGAACAACTTTCAAGGGAAAGAATATCATCTCCTAGCACCAGGTTTTGCAACTCATTTGCCAATTAAGGGCAGAAACAACAAAAAGTGGATGCCCCCAATCCAGAAATGTAACTTGGAAGGATGTGAGGTTCTGAGAGAGTGCCAGGGCTCCATCTCCTAGCCAGAGGACAGAATAGCAGCCCTGGTGGTTGCAGGACTGGGCTCACAGTCAATTGCGGCCACGTGGGCTGTTACGAGCACCACCTGGGAGCCCTGAGGGAAGCACTGTATAAGAACCAGCTCTTCCCTCTAGAGGCTGACTCAGCAATGACAGTCTTGGAGCTCTCTGTGCCTTCTGGAAACTCTGCCCATCACCTTGCTCCTGCCTCCACTTCTGGACCTTGCCTGGCTTCCTGGTCTTCACCTGCTCCAATCCCAGGTACCGGCTTCTTAGCTTGTCTCCCTGGCTTTTGACTCCTGACCAGCTTTGACTGCTGTTCATTATTTGGACTGAGTTACCTTGTACTTTTGTTACTGGCCTCGACCTCTGGACTGCTTGACTGTGATTTGGAATAGGCCCTTGCAGTGCCCTGGTTGTCTGGGTCCTGATACCCTGATCTTATACCCAGCTGCCCACACCCTGGATGCTGGCAAAGGATACCTAGTTTATCTTACTGAGTGCCACAGAACTCTGTGGAGAATTACTAAGGTTGCATTCTCCTTATTTTTCTCCCAGATCAAGTCATCCAAGACAATTCAGTCCAGAAACCTGGGCCTGGACCCAAGTTAAAATGCATCCAGATAACTATCTGCATCTACGCACCATCCAATATTGCATCACCTTGGAGTGTAGCAATAATGTTTTCCTTGTTAGTTAGAAGTAAATCAGGGAATCATAGTAGAGTTGGAAGGGACCAATGAGGCCTCTGTGGCCAACCTCTTGCTCAAGCAGGACTCTTGATAGGCATGCTCCACTTCTGTTAATTTTGTTGAATTCACAAGACTCACTGCTTGTCCAACAGGAGTTTGACTCTTCTAAAACAAGCTTCTAGATGGACACAGGTCAGCAGCTGCTCTGCCCTCTTCCATATGTGGGTGAATTTGCGGGATGAGGGGTGGGGTGGCATGTTTATTAACACCAAAGCCACAATGCACAAGCAAAGAGTCTCACAAGTGCACGGGCACAATGAGATACTATCATTTTTTTCTTACACATCTATCTTCTTGGCCTCTATTGCAACTGAAATGTTTAACTCCCAAA